GATTCTCTATTTATTTTGAGCGTGCAAACATTTAATTATAAACTTAATGTAATAATGGATGCGCGAGACATATGATAAATTAATGTTTTAAACTAACAGATCAACGTGCACCGAACGAGTAATTTGCCCATTTTCTTATCTATTCGTTTCACAATTATAAACTCGAATAATTTGCTACAAAAACGCATCATTGAGACGCACGGTAATCCCTTACTTGCAACTAAAAAACAACAATCTCATTGCGAATGAAAAGACGGCGGGTTTTTTACCGTGTCGGACGTTGTTTCGCGCGGAATTCTATAAACTTTGTGTGTCCAAACTCGTGTGTTTTTTTTAACATTAATCGCCGCGTGCCGTTTATTTACCGACGACCAAAAGCTTGCCGGTCAATACAAATCGTGTAAACGCTGCCAATGAACGTTAACGCCAATGAAGTCGATTGTGTGTAACGATATTTTGGGGGCGAAACGTATTAGTAGTAGAAGCGTTTCAAAGTCAAAAGTGAACGTTTGTCTTGGCGTACCGTTTGTCGCACACGATAAACGCCATTACGGTGTCATTGTGCCAATTTAAACGTTATGCAATACAGTCAAAAGGGCAACGGTTATAATTCGTTNCGCGTACCGTTTGTCGAACACGATAAACGCCATTACGGTGTCATTGTGCCAATTTAAACGTTATGCAATACAGTCAAAAGGGCAACGGTTATAATTCGTTTTTGCCGGTTTCATCTCACCGCCGCGTCATTAGCAGTGTTCATCTCGGCGTACACCGAACACGCCGTTGTCCCCGTGACGGATCGCGTTGCCGTACCTGTTGTGCTGGCGCGGTCCACTTGAAATACCGCCAATTTCGTCGTCGCTCCGCAGTGCTGGCGCACAATAGACGTCCCGCGAACGCGTTCATCGTAATAGGTACACACATAATAAAACGTACATTACTATATACACGAGGGCCGCGTTATGTACGCGGAGGCGGCGTCGAGTATTATTTGTGGCCATTATAAATAATACACACACACACGGACGAGTAGTGAAAAGGGACAAAGAAAAATAATACAGTCGCGTAGTGTAGCGCCGCGACTGATCCCATAGAACAACCTGTGCGCGTAAACGCACCACCTATACGGTTGTAGTACGTATATAGCGATACAATGGTAATAATGTGTACCGCGTCACGCCGGTGTAGTTCCAAATGTAACAACAAAACAGTGGATTCGATACCTGGAAAAAGGGAGTAGATTCGAAGATGAAAAAAAAAAAAAATGATTTATCGGAGGGCCACCGATAATGGAATCGTTTTTCTCCCCTTTTACCCGGTTATCTCGTTCGGGTGTACCCCCCTCTTACTGTGCGCCTATTGAACATTTTTCATAATTCACTGTTTTAACGCGTCGCGCGGACAAAAGGTGTCGGAGCGCCCGCCGCCGTTATTTTCACACGAATTCTACCGATTTCACACCTTGCCTTTCAACAGGCCATAACCGAGGGAGCGGAGTCGCCCCCGCCAGTGTTGTGCTCAGCGTTGTTAATCTCAGGATTTCCACACATTGTGCGCAGTGCGTGTCAACGGCGGAAATCGTAAAAAATCGTTCTTCCCTACGACGATTGACGTGTGCAGTTTATTCGATTTTTTGAATTTTACACGTGTGCGCATTTTCACGTACACGAGGAAGTTGTCGACCGCAAGTGCCACACAGAAAGCCAACGCGTCCGGCACTGGAGAACGACAGTCGTTTGCGGTCTCTCCGGCACAATAGGGTCTCATTTCCACATTACGCGGCACTGCGTTTGCTGTACAACGACAAAAACATAATAGTACTGCAACAATAATAAACGGCAAATGATCGAATCCCATTTCCGTCGTGGCCGAGTCCGTTAGGTTTTAAAATATGTTACATTTATGTGGTTTCCCGCGGAGTTCTAGCCATTGCGTTCCGGACGTTTGTTTACTAGAAAATTGTCACACAGTGTTGTTTGAGCACAAGATGTTGGTACGCAAAAGTCACATAATGTGAAGAACAGCATACACTCAGTTCGTCGAGAATGGAAATTAGCAAAGCGTGTAGTTCAACATAAACAACAATGTTGTTGGTTAGAATTGAAAAGTGAGTTCGTAGCCGAGTTGGGATAAAAAGCCGCCGTTGTCGCCATCAGACGAGTTTTTCGCATTGTGTATAATACAATAACAATCGCGTTCACCGTGTTGCGGCGAGTCACTGTCATTCACAAAACTGTGTAACCGGAGGCGGTCCAACAAATCGCTTTATTAACACTCGGCCGCCGCTATCCGGCCGCTCTACTTGAAATTATAATGTACTCATTGTCAGCCGCGTTCGATCATATTGTACGGCCGTAGTCGTCTTTGTGGTGTCTCCACTGAATCGCGTTCGTCATGGATACAGGTGCCCTTGAGCAGAGCCAAAAGAAAGAGTGTAGCCGTCGAGAAATGTTTGGCTTTTTTTTTTGTCGCGTACCCTCTGAAAACCCATTAGAGATGGACGACGCTATCGAGCGCAATTAGATGACGATGGCGGACGTCGATGGCGCAACGACGTGATATTTTATTTTTGTTTCAACGCGGCTCATTGACTGTACACATGTGACTAATGGCTTGATAATCATGTTATCGTGTATTTGAGTTTAATTATTATCATTATTATTCATCGTTCGCACATTGAACGCGTAACATCCAACCGTCGAGTGTACAACAATATTGCCACACGTACACGAGACCGCAGGAACGGCATTAGGAGGAGGCGTTCAGTTTATGAGAATACGTTTCGCAGCACTTGATCCGTCCGTAAATGTTTAATACGGCAATTAAACGAGGAAAAAAACCCCAACGGAATCCAATTATTGTAGTATCGTGTCGAATTGGAAACGTTTAATCTCACCGTTACCTGTCCATTGTAAACGCAATGGCTGCCGTTGTATTTCATATTCTGTTGGATGTTATGCAACGCGTTTTGAATTTTAAATACAAAACGTCCAACACTTATCGTTATTCGTCACCGTCGTCTATTGCAATAATCGTTTTAATTGCACCGCATTGGTATTTCTTCTAATTTTATCAACGAGTCCATTAAACCGAACTGTTAACGATCGGTCAACACGGACAATTAATGCGAATCGGATACATGTGGAATTACAACATTGCGTTTTTTAATACTCGCAAATAGAACGTAATGGTTCGACATTTTGTTTGTGAAATCAGACAATTCTATGAGGTATTTTTTTTTTTATAAAAACTCTTTTGTTCAGTTCATCCAGAACAGTTCTTTTAACTTTAGATACTATTCGTATTCTCGAGACATCGGTATTTCATTTGAATAAAACAATCAATCCTATTATTTGCTGGCCGGCACTGAAAGAAATGACTAGCAATACTTTTTATCTTTTACTTAGTACACAAAGTCTGCGGCCGTTGTGAAACAAATGTTTACTAATATACTGTGTAGGTACCAGTCAATGACTTTTCTTGATATTTATTCATACTCGGTGCGTATTCGACTAAAGGATTTTAGTTTAATTTGTATATTTTATTCATGAGCTGTTCATGCAATACTGCAAGCATTGCTAAGGAAATAAATAGAAGACAATCGTGAATGTTATTATTTTTATCTGTTTGAGCTGCGGAGTAAATTGTAAACACAAAAAATTAAATAACAAGTCCCGTAAAAATATACCAAGCTGGTAAATTTTAAAGAATTGTACTTGTTAAAAATTATGGTAGTCCTACTTTTTAAATGTACAAAACGAGATATATAATTAAATTGGACTAATTTATCGCGAATATTCTATTCATTAAATAATTTTTTTTATTTGAAATGTTTTGATTTCTGTCAATCAGCTTGAATCATATCCAGAGATGATTCTATTTGAAATGTGATTTATTATTTAAGTAATTATTCTGTGGATAATAATTAAAAAAAAAAATCATTCATTTATTTTTCAATGTTGACTATCATTAGTTAAAAAGTTTTTACATAAAAAATGTTCTACGTAAAACATGGATAAGTAATTAATTTCAGGTAAATATACCCCAAAAACACAAGCGAATTATAATAAATTTTGTTTTCATAGCAGAAATTGTGAATACAATAAATTCATTTCAAACAATGTTAAGTACAAGTGATCAATATTTATTATATCAATTAATTGTTTCAGTAATAAAAATAAATAAATGACTTTATTAATTACACCTATCGTGTAATAATCCCGGCCTCAGCTGGGCTCTGTAAAAATAGAATAAAAAAAAAAATTCCGATAATATTGCGTAGATAACCACGTTCGTATATTATTTTTTTATCGTTATGACAAAGGTGTTAGAGTGTGTTCACTGCGTTGTTTATATTTTTCCTTATCTTTGGGTTGTCGGGTATTCCGCCAAGTCATCGTCGGCCATGCGGGGGAGTTGTGAGCTATAAATAATAACATTGTGGAGTTTGCCGTTCACGAGAGGGACGGGCCGACTTGTTTATAGAATTTTTCGCCGCGTCAGGTAACTCTTTCTTTTATTATTTAATATAAAAAAAACCGTGTATTAAAACAACATAATGGTCACAACCGAGAGATAATTTGATTGAGACGCGTCCAAGTTGTGCGCTGGTGAATGAGCCGTCGCCGCGTACCACCGGCGCAACTTGGTATTTCGGTTACGGCGTACGGATCCACCTGCTACGCTGCGACCGTAGTACGCGCCGCGCCGTCGTGATCGGCCGGCACAACAGACAACGGACGGAATGCCGTCATACACCCTCCTCTCGTCGTCCCTCCAGGCGGAGGAGCACACACACTAGAGCTCGTCGTACGTTTAAAAAAATGCGTTGTGTGTGTGTGTGCGCTCGTTGTAGTATTCGGACACGTTCTATAGAAAAATATCGCCTCCTCCGCCGCGCGCACCGCCCCCACCACCACAGCCAGCCGGGACACGGGCGCGCAGTGCCTCCCACCCGAAAACTGGACGGTCGTATACGCCGTCGCGTCGTGTATTATCCTCTGTGTAATCGTACATTTGCGCCGCGCACCTCCGCCGCCTCCGTCCGTATTTTCGCATGCGTTGTCACTACTACACTACCACCAGTGTAATAATACACTTTGTTCAATCCGGGAGCGCGCACCGTGTGTACACCAAGCGGTCGGTCTGTCTCTCTCTCCGTCGCTCGCATCATTTCTCCTCGTCTCGAACCGCGAGCCGGCTCAGCGCCGTCCGTAGTAGTAGTAGTAATAGTGACTAGTGAGGTACCGACCGAGTGTCAGTGTGTGCTGTTTGTGTGCAACGTAATCGCCTTCTCGCGCGCGCCGCACACTCGACCTTTTATAATATTGTTTTCAATTAATATTCAGAACTGTCTGAATTTAACCACCGCTGCCGAAGTTTTTTAGTTGTTTGCCGGTCGCTGTAATTACGCGTGCACCCGACGGAAAATGCTTATCAGTCTTACCGGCGCACAAACCTACAGAACATCAGGTAAGTTTCTATGGTTAGAATTCATTTGAATAACTTTAATACGCGGGTTTCAATCTCGATTGTTGTTTTGAATTTTAAATTTCTTTATGCCGCTGGTTGTTAAAAAAAAAAAAAAATTACAAGCTCCACTCGTGAAATCGGTGCGAAAACTATGTAGTAATCGCTAACCTTGGACTTGATTAAATGAAAAAAAAAAAAAAAATTTAATTCAGATTAAGTTTTTTTACCGACGGTGCGCCGTTAATTTTTTTTAATCACACAAATTAGTGACTCGAGCTCACATGGGATGCAACTGATGTGCGTGAATTGTTTGGTCATTGCGATTGCGGAATAACAACGTTCGCAGGATGCCTTGGGCCCAAGGGTTTTCTACTTTTGTGTAAATATCGGCAAACGCTTTTTCGGTTTAGAGGTTACTAATTTTGTAATGTGTCGCAGCAATTTTATCGTTTAATTCTGACGAGAGAAACGAGTCGTACGTGTCGACGATAATAAAACAAAGAAACGATTCGTTTGTTTTTCGACGGCATGTTTTCCGACCGGCCGTAATTTATCGTTACGTTAAAACTCCAATGATATCTTGTGTTTATTTTAAAACTCGGCTGGTCTCTGTAGCTCACCGACACGAGAATAAAAATACATCATCGGTGTGCTTTTATCTCGAATTTGCCCATCTCTTCGGCTGTGTCCGAGAGCAAAAACATGTCCGTTGGACACGGTCGGCACATAAACGTAGTATCCCAGATAAGAGACATTGATAAGGACTGGGACCCGGTGGTACCGAACGGTCTGCCCCGTACGATATTGTGCCGAATACGCACAACTGTTTTGCGCTGTCGGTTTTCACCAGAAGTGGACAATATAAATTTTTTGCTTTTGTTGTTATTATTGTGTTTTCAATGAGCATCGGCCAAGAAGCCGGCAATTTTTTCTTCGACACTACTGTTTGACGTTATTTTTTATTCTGCCAGTTTTTTCTCTTATGTTCGCTATTCTTCTATTGTTATTATTATTATTCGACATTTGCGTAAATTCAAGATAAGCGATTACAAAATTACAGTTCGCGAATCGTGGCCATGTACAAATTTTAATTATCAGCATGCACGTGTCAAGAGCGATGACTTTTTTTCGTCGTTATTGTCACACTCGAACACACTATCGCGGCAATAGTAATAAACGGACATGGAACACAACATTGTTGTATCATTGAATGAAACGAAACTTATCAACAAAACGCTAATAAACCGCTTCGTTTCCAACGCCGAGTTTATTTTTATTATCAGCGCTGTCGAACTGTCCCGTTTTCCCATTGACATCACCGGTGTAATGAATCATTTTTTTAGCCGATCGCGTGGAAAATAAATACACCATATTTTTAGACCTCCGATAAGCGACCGTAGAATGTATTTTTATCGTAATTTATAATTATTTTTTATCTGTTGTCAAACGTGTCGCTGCACTACTGCCACGCGTTCCCCACAAGATATTTCCGACAGCGTTTCACGGATTCAAATCGATGATATTTTATAACCATCGCTCGTCAATAGTCTACCGTTGTCCAAATTATTATCATTTCTTAAAACGCCTTAGCAAATTTTATCGTACATAATTTTTATCGCTCTATTAACTCTTGTCGTCTGTTGTGTGTGTTTATCATGCGGTTGAACGCGTTGTCTGTATACTGCGGTGTTACACGGCTTCTCCATAATGTGCTGCTGCTTTACGTTTCTTTCAGATATGCCTACGCACATCGGGCCAGATTTAAAAAAAAAACTGTGCAAATGTAAAAAAATCCATGTTAAAAATATCATTTATAAGACTGGATTTTAATAATAAACATGTTGAACCATTCATAAATATTATTCCGAGTTCGAATGTTGTTTATGCAGTGATCCACATCTATGTAAAATATTGACTTGCAAAAACAAAAACCAAGAGCATTTTTATACACTTTATTGTCATCTATTATTGTATTGCTTGTGTACCAATAACACTACTGTATTATACACCCATAAATAGCTTAAAAAATGACCTTCCAGAATATTATCATTTTAATATACTTTTGGAAGTAAAAATGGCGTATAAATTAGTTCAAAAATAACCGAAATATTAAATTTAAAAAGAGATATAAATCAAGTTCCGAGTTCCAAGTCAATTATTATATTTTAATTTAACTAAAAATGTATATACATTTTTAATTAATAATCATTTGTAACTAATAATAATTGATTATAAAATGTTTAAAATTATGATAAAAGAATAGAAGTATCTAAAAAAATTAATTAAAAATTTAATTACTACGGATTTATCTTGTAATTTATAGACAATTTATTATCAGGTTTATCTTTGAATGACGTACAGGCACAGTGGGCCTATTATTTACGAAAGTGTTCATAAATTTATAAAATTTATAAAACACTATTAGATGTTATCATCCTAATAATATGCTGTTAATGGTCTAGACATTTATATTTCATGTTAATGGTTTTCAATAGCCATTGCAATGCCTTGTAGTAAATTATTTGTATTTTATCAATACTTCTGTACAAAAATGTTCGGATTGAGTGACTTCACGAACCAATAACTCGATTTTTTAAACATTAAATAACCTTTAAATTGTTTTTCTATCAGAATTTTAATTCTGACTCGTTGTACTGTAATAAACAATTTCATACACACACACGCAATTTACAGTGATTTTCAGACGATTTTACGAAAAGCGGCAGCTAGTTGTGCTCTCCGTTTCTTGTCGAATAACCTCAAAGTTATATTGTTTGGCTTTAGATAACCTATGATCCATTTGTAAACAAATAATTTGTTTTATCTGTTTCAGGCGTATCTCGTAATTCACAATGATCACTAGTGGTCTCGTGGTGGACGGTGTCGGCCATGGGTTGCCGACCCATCTGCCGTATAACCATCCCGTCCACAATCGTATGTCGTATATGGAACCACCGTACTTGAAAGCCGTACCGGTACCGTCGTCACAATCGGCCGAACCGGTGGCCTCCGCTACGCCAGAGTTCCTCAGGCCCCTGCCAAAACCGGCACCGGTGAACCCGTTGAAAGTTCCCCGGGCCTCGAAATATCCTTTGTCATCGGACGGCGGCAATTGCCGTCCGGTCAACTTGACTCAAGCCAAAGAACCACCGCTGTCGGAACATCTCAGAATGGACGACCGGCACCATCCGTACTCAACCATGTACGGACACCCCAGACTGTACGTGAGCGCATCGCCGTATCATTCGTATCCAATGCCTGCGCCTTACGGGGTGTATACCAGCCCGTACACGCCCGTCGTGCCCAGGGACACGAGGCACCATCTGATGCAGCCGCCACAAGAACGCAGGTACCCCAGCCCACCGACCAAGAGCAGTCGCACCAGTCCTCTATCGTCGCCACCGGAACAGTTCAAAGTACCTAATGGAAGAGATAAGTCAGTTTCACAACAACAACCTCAACCAAAACTGTTGCCGCCGCCTCCGCCCCCAGTACTACCCCCACCAGCGGTAGTGACCACGGCCTCAGCGGAGCCCCCATTGAAAAAGATAAGGACGACGCCCGAACCGTCTTCGCCACCGGCCAAAACGTCCAACTTTACCAAAGGTTCGTTAATACGGCTGGCCAACGGGCATATCAAAAAAGTTGAAGACATGAGGACTGAAGACTTTTTGAGTTCAGTTGAAAACAGCGATAAGCACCGGATAGATCCCAGCACGGTGGTCAGAATCGAACCGGTGATGGACGCGGCCTCTGCCAAAGGGAGCAGCATCATTAGGATCACCCTCAGTTACGGCGACCAAAGAAATCGGGTAAGAGCCGCCTAACAGTTAATGTCGTTACTCGTTATATTAAGGGAATTCCTCTGCACCGTATGTATCCCCGAATACGTGTGAGTTTAGTGTAATAATAATACCGTGTTATCTCTGCCGTATTGGTTTTATGACGAGGGGCGGAGGAGAGAGCCACATTAGTATGCGGTTTAACGAACTACTCGCGGCGTTGAATAACTTCTGGAATGTGACCAAGACGAGCGTATAATTTTTTATTTTATCACGGTCTGGGCGAGGTGTGCGCTCGGAAGGGCATGTGAAGAAGAAGAGGCGACGGGCATGAAATCGGCGACCTTGGGCGTCGTCCGCACGGAGAGGAACCTCGCGCGCCGTCGTCCGCACCGACAAGAGTACTACAGTCATAGTAGTAGTTGTATGCGTATTATTGTAGCTGTTGTAGTTGTAGTAGTAGTAGTAGTAGTAGTAGTAGTAGTAGTAGTTGTAGTATAATATGTCGAGTGACATTGTTCCGGAGAGAGAGAGACTGGTTCTGGTCGAACAAGTGTTGAGAACAACTCGACGGAGTTTGTGGAGGCGGCCATATTGTGTGGTACGTACGAGTTGACCATATAAGTGCGCGTGTCTGTTACACACGCGTTCTTGGAAATTCTTAGACTCGGCCGGCCATGATACTCGTCCGCATGGAATATCGTTCCGAAGCATTTGTTTTTTAACGTGTATTTTTATTTCAACGCCGTTTTGTTCGCGCGGAGACTTGCGTAACTCGTTTGGGATAAGACGATCGCCGTCAGCGTACGCGTTTCGTGAATCGAATTCAATTGGATTAACTAGCCCGCGTGCAGTCACCGTAAGATTGTCGATAGTTTTTGCCAACGTGTTGTCATTGTTAACTAGCGCACAATTGACCGGCCAACAATTTCGATCATACGCTTCTCTGTATATTGCCGTCACGCTTTGGTATCCGTGTGACAATTTAGAGAGATCTTATGTAATAGCGCACAGCGGCGGGAGCACGTGGGAAATAAGAGTAGAAATTTGTATTGCTATCAATGAATAATGTATACCGTATGGTACCATCCGGTTGATTTATCATTGACCACCACCAGATTTCTTCCAAAACAAAGATAATTTAGAGAATTGTTTTGCTTATTTCAGTAGTGTTTATTTGCTGATTTTTCAGGGTAAAATATATTTTGAGCGTACCCCTTATAAGAGTGACATCTTATTTTTTTCAATTGGCAACATAGATATTTAACCAGTTCGTATAGTAAAAAATGATCACAAATTTTCAACCATTAGTTAGGAAGCCTATGAATATTTTTATACTTTGACGGGAAGAGTAGCGCGGCAAAGCGATGTGTGACATGAAAAAACAACATTTATCACATCTCTTATCAAGTGTACATTTAAAAATATGAATAATTTCCGAAATACCGTTTAAAAGTCGTTGTGTCGGTCAATCGTTTTCTTCTCAGTTGTATCATTTCGCTTTGTATATAACTAATAAAATATACATGGCGTAATCAATAAAAAACAAAGTCGGTTTTTAAGTAATAAGGGAAAAACGTAACAAATATGTAACCGCTCGAAAGTAAACAAAATCGAAAAAAGTTATTTTAAAATTATTATCAATTCAGAAGAAATTCAGCGGTCGACCGTAACTCCTTAGGAGTTGTGTGTCTGTTGTTGTCGGGTACAATTAATTTGGAACGGCCGTTTCTGCGCCGATTGGGAATTGTAGAGAAAACAACAGTTACAGCTATGCAACAAATGCAATATAGTTTCATGAACGACGTGTCACGGAAAATTTATTCGTTTTTATCTTTCTGAGTAGAGTTCAACGCAAAACGTTAGTCACCAATACACACACTCGAGAGCGCATAATTTTTTTTCGACGTGAAATTGCTCGTTATTGTTAGAAACCGATCGTTGCGAGTACAGTGAGAAATGGTTTCGTTCGAATTGAAATAATTTTGATTACATTTTATCAGCGGAGCCCACGTTCCTCTGCGACGGAATTTGCCTCTTGTAAACGCATTCATATTTTATGAACAGCGTGTGCAGAAGCCAAACTATATTGATGTCATCGTCCATTCAACGTGTAACGTATGGAAACCGTTTGCCAAATGTAAAACATTCCCTTCGACCGAACCAATTGTCAATCGAAAACGAAGTACAACGCATCGCCTATGGCCAAATGTATTGACAAACATTAATGTGATTTTTCATTTAAGATTTGTGCATAACGTTGACGCCATTAATGTGTTACACAGCTTATGCGCCCATCGTTTTTTAATGATATTCGATTAAATTCGAATTGGGTGCCGCCGCCACACTCGCCTTAAAATATGTAACACTATTTTCAGTACTACTGTATTTGTTTTAATAATGGTTTTGAACGATGCATATTATCATGCAATCGTCGGCTCTATAAAATCTCTGTAGCAACAACAATGCGCGCGCATTGCGATATTATCATCGTTCAGATTTAATTGTTAATTAACACCCCTGGCCAGCGTAACGCCCTCGCCCGCTCCTCCATATTATATCGGACCGCTCGTTAACAATAACCGGTCAACAATGTGGCGTGTAACACATTATTATTATTACAACAATACCACCGTGTGCAGTGTACGACGGAATGCTGCGCCGTGCGGTGTCTGCAGCAGCATTTAGTGCGCGCGCGCGCGCGCCCAGTAGTAGGAGTCATTAACGAAAACGCATAAATTTCATTCAACAACAATCCTAATTATACACCGATCGTTGTTGTTTTGCTGGACGCGTCGTTACCAGTTGCCACCCCCTCCGTTGCCTTTAGAAACGCACTGCGATCGGCCCGATTCAGACACGACTTAACGGGGCCGTGTGGAGTAATTAAAAGCGAGCCGAGGTATGCGACCGCCGTCGTTTTCTCCGGCGGTTGGCCCCGCGGCGTTCGCCCGTCGGCTGCTCCGTACCGAATACAATATCGTACACGTTCTTCTCGGGCTACCACAATACGCCAGCCCCTCCTCTCGTCGTCGGGATTCCGATTGTTGTTCTATAACAATGCTCGTTTTATTTTGTCGCCCGTCCTTTCTTTCACTTCCCCAGCGCGCACCAAACGGGTTTCGTGATGTCCATGAAAGGTAACGTCGTACGGCGGCGGCGGACGAGCAGCCGTACGCCGAGATATAAAAGACACGGTGCGCGTCGTCCGAGCGGCGGAGAGTAGTCGTAAGGATTTATACGCGAAGAAATATAAAATGGACGTCAGAAGCGCGCACAACACGAGGAGGCAAAGTGAACGGGCGCGCGTGACTTTTTATCGTCTGAAGGTCGGAATGCAGACGTCGGTTGGAAATGCTAATGTCTATCCGTACGCGTCTTACGTGCCACGCCGCCGTCTCCCCTTACAGTTCGTACTAATGACGGTGTTTATGTGTCGGTGAGCCGTTTTTGTTCCATTCCACCCCCCCCCCTCACCACAAACACTTCACGTCCGCCTCATCGACAGTCGTTGTTTAAGGGTCGACCGCGGCGCTCTGAATGAACAAAGGACGTTGTGGCGGGAAAAAGGGTGTGTATGCGGTGCATTCGATTCCGAGAAGCACTCGCCGTAAATCGATAACGCCCAGTTAACAAAGACAACAACAAACGAGTTCTGCGGTCGCGCGGCGATATATTTATATATTTTTTCTCTCTATTTATTACTTAGCAAATCACAACCGACAAACTTTCACGCGTGACCCACAAAAAATAGATACTGTTTGGATACAAAAATTAGCGCATGTGTGCGCACCGATAAGAAAACACAAAGCTCTCCTATCGGCTACGGTTTTATTGTTATCGAATTGGGTCGTGCCGTCGCACGAAACGTAATTTCTGAATTGTCAATAATTCAGTCGTGTACGCAAAAAAACGGCCAAGTCGTGTGAACTTTTTTCGGACAGTGTGTGTAGTGAGCGCGCGCACACGCCGTTTTTCCGTGAGCTTATGAATCGCGCGGGGGCGTTCATTCATGTATAGACTCCGTTCGATTCCGCAAGACCCGTGCCGTCGCTCAATGGCGGAATTCCCTTCGTTTTTCGCGCCCCTCCCGCGTTCCCGGGAAAGCGCAGCAGAGCGTCATTTCCAGTAGGCGCGCACGTTAACCTGTGGAAAACCGAAGTCTGCAAAAGAACACCACCCAATCCGTAGACCTCAAAATTTAAGCGAACGAAATCTGCGAAAAACACGTCCACCGAACTCTGTGAAATTATTCGTCGTTTATCAACTTTATTATTAGATAGTCGTTTGCAAGTGGGCGAAATTTTGTGTGTACATGTTTGTGTACACTCACTGGATGGTATCGCGTCGTACAATGGCCTGACCTCGACGACGTTGATGTTTTTCGCTTAATCGATTCGCTGCTATTAGTTCGCCATTCATAAAAAACAAACATTTGGCATTCAACATGTGTTTTTTGTTCCTACGCGTTTGTTGTACTCTAGAAGAATTTTCAGTATATCAAATATTTAACGAATTGTTTGACACAAAGTAAGCTTCTGCCAAAACCGTTTGATGTATTCGCAGTTTTTTACTCGACCTATGAGGGCTGTAACTCTAAACGCAAGTTTTCTATTGCCGCCGGTCTACTTATGATGGCGAATTCTCTCGGCGTTTTCCGACTATAGTCTGTTTATTTGCTGCCGGTTAAAAAACGAGTAGGCGTCTGATGGATGAAGTATTGAGCTAGCCGTGTTATCGATTATCACTGTTTACACGATAGGCCGCGTCTGGGTTTGCATTGAATTTGTGGAAAATTATCATCGAGTGTGTTCATAACGGTTTATATTGTGCAGATGTAATTACTACCGTGTACGGTAACGGCAATGCGATACAGTTTGATTACAAGTAACAATACAGTATGAGATAACTAGACTGACTGAGAGTATTCAAAATATTTTATTGTAATTTTTTTTTTTATGTTGTGTTGATATCATTGCTGACGAGTCAACTGTTTTATGTATAAAACAAATAAAGCGAAAGCAATAAAATACTAACTAATTATACTGTGCGATCGAAGGTGTTTTTTTTTTTTTAATACATTTTTCTTCGAGAAAAAAACTCCATTTTAGTTAATCCGCAGACATAAACTTCTGTATAAATAACTTTAGTGTCAGAACGTTCATCTGTTGAAAGACTAGAGTTGTTTTTCTCTACAAACAGATCGGGTGTCTAGGAAAAAAATAACTTGTCCGAAATAGTCGTGAAGTAAACATCAGATGAAAATATGATAATTGTTGGACTCTTCGCCTGATGAATTTTTTATTAGTCACCAAAAATGAATATTATTATTTATTTATTTGTTAGGGTGTTCGCAGTGAACGGCACGTGAATAATTTTGTTTTGAAATACGCGATTTTGATCTCTATAATCGTCGATAGTTTTTTTTTTTTTTATATGATCGTAGTACGTGTTCAGTAGTAATATATCGTCGCGAAGCCAATCAAATCTGATGAGTGTTTTTTTTTTTTTTTCATTCGACGCTATCGAACCGTTCTGTTTTTGTAACGTTAACACGAATCGAGTTCATGATAATTTCAGTTTAAATGGGACGCGTTAAATGTTCGTTTAGGAGGTGTACAGATGTGACCCAGACCGTGCAATTTTTGTGCATCGACCGTCGTGTGTTCGCTTATGATAATGAGGAGGAGGTACGTGAACCGCTGAAAAGTTGTGCCGACCAGGGGCGAGGCCGCGTCCGATCGCATTCACGGCGTTACACTTGTACCGGCCGCTGGCCTTTGAGCCATACGATTAAATTGTCCAATTTACTATTATTAAGTCGAGTATGCGTTTTCTCGCGTGTACATGAAGTGCGTGCATGTACCCGCGGCTGAAACGCACTAAGCATATATGCGGTCTGCGCAGCACGGCAGTACCACCACCGACCGGCGGTGGGGGAATTTCGTCCTTGAGGCAAGGCAGGGTCATTACTAATGTAGGCTAACGTATAGTTGTAGTAGGATTTTACATTAGTCTCCTCCTCTCACCTGTCGTCGTCTTCGCCGTCGGCCCCCCGTCGTAATGCCCCTTGTCCTCATCGCCCGGATTGTGTAGAGAGAAAAAAAAAAGTAACGTCGTGTACCGTCCCCCGCGCTCGTTTGTACCCGTCCATCGGGTTTCCCCTCCGCCCGCCGGTCGGCCGGCAGGTTTGTTGACCTGTTGCGCTCTCCGTAACCAGTGGCCGTCGACTCTAACCTCCTCGTGCTCATCCCGATCCGACTCTGCCCGTAATGTTTTGTTAAATCGGTGCACGGCAACGCGTTTCTCGTCCGTGTAATTGGCAAAAACCAAATCCTGTTCCGAAAGTTGGCCTTGCTGGAGGACGTTTGTCGGGCCGGCGCCACCTTCATTTCCGTCCAACGCACGTTTACGTCATTGACCATAACAAGAATATAGCGTGTACTCGAATATAAATAAACGACTATGTGAATTTAATGCGGAACGAAAATCCATTTCATACTAATCTCGACACACGGTGTCTGAACGTAAAAAATAACACAAGTTTAATTGCTGCGAACGACTGACACGATGCGTTCCAGCAGAAATGAGTGGCGTACCCCCTTGTCCTCTGCCGGCGACGCACCTCTGCGTGTCACGTTATAAATAGACGTGGGAGCGTCGTTGACGAACATTGTTGCCGGTCACAAAAATTGATACTATCCAATACTCGTATAAGTATACGGGTGCGCACCGTGTTATTATGGACACGTTAATCGCACCGTGCTATCATCGGCGGCACAAGTGTCGCATGTAAAAACTACCGACGGTCGCGAATTTCCATAATAATATTCGTGCGTCAAAAAAAAAAAAATAAATAAATAAAGAGCTCTTAATATTTTGATTTCGACATGACAATGTAGATTAAGGCGCGCGCGAGGGCGTTCTTGGAATGTTGAATTAATCATTTTGTTTGCCATCAGGTCGGAGCGGACAACAAAAGGACGTTGGCGCCGAGCAAGTCGCACCAAGTGGAGATGGAGAGCGGTGCGGAGCATCCTTATTTCGTGTTCGGCCGTGGCTGGGCATCCTGGAGCCCGTCCAAGACGCTGGCCAAGTACGGTCTGACGTGCCAGCGGTTGCAGGTGGGCGACGTGTGCGTTTCGCTGTCAAAACGTTCTGACGCGGCCGCTTACGGTAAACGGAGACAGCAATTACCGGCCACCAACGCTGGCCCTCTACAACAGCCACCGCCGCCCCAAACACTTCATCATCATCAACAGTCGGCCGGCGACGACAAGAAAACCGGCGGCCGGAACAAGAGACGGTGGTCGGCGCCAGATCCTGAACCCGCTACTTAATAACGAAATACCGCGAAAAATTGTCCGATCGATATTATTTTGTTATTATATTTTTTCGCCTTTACATTGTTTAAATTGCCATCCTCCCCCAACCCAAACTCGTGCCCTTCGTTGAGTGTTGATTGAATGAATAAACGTTATGGCATTCAGTGCGCCAAGAAATGTAAATTAAAACAAAATATTTCGCCACCGCGAAAATGATTTTTCTTGGCTTTTTCGAGTGTGCTGTTACTGTCATAACATTCTTTTAAGAAAGAAATCGGTTTTAATGTACACAGTCCGCCATTTGTGATTTCTTTAGTCATAAGACGCGATAAAAAAATCAAGAGTAAACGTTACGACAATTTCATAGATTATTTTTGTAGTGCCAAAAAAAAAATAAAGTAAGGAATATAATTACAAACTTAGTTTTCTTACCGATAGTCGTCAATAATAGTATTATAAATTATGTTCAGTAATTTTCCCGTTTGAGTTGTTCATAAATTCGCTTTTTATTATCAACCTGTTTGGTCTTGATGAAATATCAAAATAAATTACAGCTGTATAATTTTGTTATATATAATAATAAGATAGACCTATTTTTATTTGTCGTTATATTGTTAAAAATTCAACATAAATTTAAATATATGTTATACATAATATGTAATATTATAATCTGTTTAAAAAAAAATAAAATTGTGAAAAATTTATAAATTTTTTAAATATTGTATAAAATATTTCTATTTTAAAATATCAATCTCTATTTTAATGTAAATTGGATACAATCCTAAATGCCATACAGTTATGTGTTATTATTATTATTTATTATTATTATTTTATTACTATTATATTATTATTATTATTATTGTGTTTAAAATTTCCCAGTATTTCAAAAATTCTAAATTTTATTTTCTGGATTTAATGATCTCAACGCGCGTAAATGAACAAATTTTATAAAAAAAACTATTTATTCTTTTTTCTCAATTTTTTTTTACGCATGTGATATTTTTAAAAAATGAGGCGAAAATGACTTTTTGATTTATGTATTTAATAATATAGTTAAATTTTAAAGAATATTTAAAGTTTTATTTACTAATATATACGAATGTTAAACTCTCAAGACTATAATTAAAAAATTATAAACTATATTTTTTACTATGATAGTTTCACTTTTTATTATTAATTATATTATATGACTATTTTTGTTAAAAATCTGATAAGTTGAAGAGACTGACAAGTACATGATAATCGCGGTTACATATATTATTGACCTAAAATTATTTATATTCTCTCAGGTCTAAAGACTGTAGATGTAAAGTTCTATTGATTTCTCAATTATAACAATATAAAAAAATATATGTATATATATATATTTATATTTCAATTACTTATAGACCATACAGGACATTTATTATTTCACATTGTGTAATTGATTAGTTTTAATCAAATAATTGTACGCCTGAATGTTTGATAATTATGTTGATAATGTGTATTTATTTTGTTATTTTAAAATTTATCAACACTGCAATATTTTGAGATCGCTAAATCATTATAAAAATAACATTCATTGTTTTTCTGAAGTTATCCAAACATTAATATTGCAGTTATGAGTTGCCATTATATTAAAAAATATTTTATGTAACTTACCTTATTAATAAATGGAATATTTATATGTTTTTATTGTGTTAATAAATATTATAATATATTGTTGACCCTAAATAAAAAATCTGTATTCTATTGTAGAATTTAAACTCAAAGTGATAATAATTAAAAAACATAATTATTATAAGTTATTTGTATTAGAGAAATTCTAGGATTCATCTTTCTAATTAATTAATGAAGATTAAGATTTAATTAATTGATAGCTCTGTAGATTTTGTATATGATTCCAATTTTGTACTACTTTAAGAAGAGAAAGACTTGCATAACTATTTTGTCTTATTGATATATAATTATATACCATCATACACATAGCATTTCTTTTAACTCTAGTTATTCAATTTCTCTTAAAATAACGAATTTTTTTTTGGATTTTGTTAGTTATATGCATATCTTGAATTATCTGTTATAAAATATTTTTTTATGTTAATTCCTTATGTATTATAGGGGAGTTAACTTAATTTTTTAAAATAGCAACATAATTATTTAACCGCTTTTAAAATCAATTATACAATTTTGGTCATAGGTGAGAGAGTGTTTGAGAAATGACTTACGATAAATACAACAACTTGCTTGTTTCTCCTCTAGTCTTTATTTTAAAATTCTCAAAGTTGTTTTTGACCAGTCAATTTCTATATATAAAGTAGTTTAATATGTATGTTGCCATTAAAAAAAATAAAGTTGACACCTCTGTAAGTTATAAAAGATGGATTTAAAAGTTATTTTATAAAAGATATAGAAGAAATTGAGTGACTAGCGTTAAAAGAATAACGCTATGTAATATATGCTTGATATATACATACATATATAATTGATATATAATATATATATATATATATATTAAACGTTTATGATTTATTGTAGCAATTCTTAAAAAATGATTATAAAATCAAATTAAATTTGGAATATTTTTCATTTTTTGTCAACCTTTTTAAATAAGTTTTTTACTTGAAGAGTCTTGCTCTAAAATATACAATATTTTTGATATACACGATAATTCGTAATGACTCAATTTCTCTAAAAAATATAGTTTAAAAAACTAAAAAAACACGCTTTTAAAGCACATCGAACTAAAAAGTTAAAAATAATTTTTAAAATAATTATGAACAAAAAATACTAGTATTATTGTGATAAAAGCGTCGGGCGCTCAATATACGAAAAATATGGCACAAAGCACCCACGCTTTTATCACAATAATACTAGTATTTTTTGTTCATAATTATTTTAAAAATTATTTTTAACTTTTTAGTTCGATGTACTTTAAAAGCGTGTTTTTTTAGTTTTTTAAACTATATTTATTTTTTACTTTTTAGTTTCATGTTATGATAGTAGTTACTATCAATATCATGGTTGTTACGGGTAACGGGAAATCAGGGTTCGATTCTGGGGAGGGAGTCTGAGAAACGGCTACCACATCCAAGGAAAGCAGCAGGCGCGTAAATTACTCACTCCCGGAACGTGGAGGTAGTGACGAAAAATGACGATACGGAAATCATCCCTCGTAATCGGAATGAATACTTTATATCTCTTAATTAGAATAAATCGTGTTAATATATTAATTTTAATAGTAATTAGAATATATATATTTATACAAATAATGCGACTTAACTACGTAAAAGTATCATGCACTAAGTATAGCTGTGTTTTATGGCCGGGCGGGTCGGACTAACGTTATACCCGAGGTATAAACGGCGGTAGGAATATATATATATATACGTAAGGCGCATTAGACGCGGGCGTTATTGGTCAGTCAAAATAAAAATTTGTTTACATATATATAATATTGATGACAAGCACGCGTGTACGGGTACGATAACTAAAAATAAATTTTTATAGGAATAGTGTACCAGTGTGTGGTGAGCGAGGAGTGGGGAGGGGTGAATGCGTATAACAGTCTAGTCTAGACAACGGAATATGCGATAACGCGTGGCGTTTGGAGAGTTACAAACATACATACATACATACATACATACATACATACAGGTGAAACTAATATAAGCGTGTTAAAAATACTAGTTATGTTAAGAAAATTATTTTTGGTATTTTCTAATTTCATGTATTTTTTAATTTATCAATTATTAATTACTTTATAAATCATCTAGTATAAAGGGGTCAACTTTATTTTTATTAATAGGTAATATGCATATTTAATTCCTAAAAATTCTAGCACAGTGGGATTGTGATATGTGTAGGATAAGTATAGATAACATCTGATAGTGATTAAAATCATTATCATAAAAAAAGCTTCGTTGCAAATTTTTAAATATTGTTAAATTTTTTGAAGGAATTATTGAATTTTTCTAAAAGCTACATGAACTCTTATTTATTTAATTATACCCCAATTACAATTTTATAATTTTTTTTTTTTTATGAGCTTTCAATACAGAAGTATTATTATAGCTAAACGATTAAAATAAAACTATACAATAGAAACTAAGACTATACAATAAGAACTAAGACTATACAAATGAAAAAAAAAAATATTGTTATTAAACACAATTAAACATATCGTTAAATTAATAAATTAAACATATTCAAAATACTAAAAAAGAAAGAACAAAACAAAATAGACCTAGGATATTAAATTAACATACAGAAAAATAACGAAGCCAGCTGAAAGAACGAAGGAAATTATAAGTATAATTATTGAGGAGGATTTTGTATTAAGGATATTAAAACTATTAATGGATGAAATATTAAGGGAGGACAGGAAATTGAACAAGAGTAAACAGTTATGTTGTAAAGCTGGGCAATCAAATAGTAAATGAGGAAAATTACAGGGGACTTCATCATAGTGTTTGGGGCAGAAGAGGGAATGGTTTAGTGACATGTTAATGGCATGACTAGGTAACCGATTATGACCAAATCTAAGACGGGAAAAAGAGGTAATATGGAAACGGGACAGAGGGAGGTTGTAAAACCAAAGACGTTTATAAATAGTTAAAACTATACATTTATGCCAGTTAGCTAAATTTGACCATTTATCTTGCCATGCTTTATTAATAGTTAGATGAAAAGAGGAAAGGAGATCGGAAGAGGGAATTTTTAGGATAGGTGGTCGGTTGAAGGAGTTAGTCAGTTTGGCTAGATGGTCTGCTATCTCATTGCCCGAGATTCCGACATGACTCGGGCACCATAAAAATTCAACATTAATGTCCATTAAAAAGAGACTATAAATTAAGGCTTTAATTTTTATTGAATTTTATGATTTATTAGTATAATACACGAAAACTTATTATAGTAACTAAATTTAGTATAAAATTGATGCTGAATAATTTAGTATTTTTACGAGGAAATTATAAAAAATTATAAAGATTTTGTATACAGTTTTTTTTTTTTTGTTAGCCACTGTATTTCTCTAAAAATTATAAAAACTATTTAGAAAAAAATTTTATAGAATTTTTTAATTTAATTATTTCTTCATTTTATAATTATTAAGTTTCATTTAAATTAATTTCTTATACTTTATAAGGATGTCAACTTTATTTCTTTAAATGGCCACGTACATATTTAACTAACTTAAAAAATACCAAAAAAACGGTAGTACAGTGTAGACGTAGTATAGTTAGAACAAGTATAGATGATACCTGATAGTGATTAACATCATTATCATAAGAAACGCTTCGATGCAAATCTGTAGATACACCCAGAGAAAATCCTCGATCTATATAATAAATTCATTGTTCAATTTGATAAATATATCATTACTATTGAATCTATGATATATTTATCAATATGATAATTT